TGAGAAAGACATTCTATCTAACCATCTATATAAAATCAACATTCCTTCATATTAAGTTTTTATAATTTATCATATAAATTACTAAAATATTATTAATAAGTTAGAATCTATCTTTCTTAGTAAAGTTTATTAATGGTTGAGTCTATTATTGTATCTATTGTCAAACGAATTACTTATTAATTTAATTTCATATACAAAATGTATACTTTTCAATAAGTGAACTGTAAATATAAAAGCAGCAAAAAGAAAAAGAAGATTAGAGAATGAATGAGTTAAGTTAAGCCGAAAGAAGATTTCCAAGGTTCTATAGGTAGGGCGAAGCAATGACTAATTCAAAGCAATAGTGGAAAGTTAACTCCGGCATGAAGAAAATTTTGCAAACCTCTTCCCACATACCACAAAGGTCAAACACTCACACATAATGACACATACCTTAGTTTAACTTCCCCTACTCTATGTCCCACCCCAAGATTCCAAACTCCTCTATATTTTATCATATTTCTTCATTCTTTATTGCATATATGTTATAACTATACACTCTTCTTTTCTTCTTTAAAACTTCTCACCACCCAACCCCAATAATATTTTCATCATCGTTCCTTCATCTTATCTTCTTGGTGCAGCTTCTATGAGTTCTGCCATAACCAAACCTCCTACAAGTGAGTGTGGCTCCTCCGAGGAGAGTGGTTGGACTAAGTACTTTGAGGATTTCCTTAACGACCATCGTATTGATGATCACAAACGTTGTTCTGTGTCTTTCTCTGGTGTTGATAGCGACTCCACCCTCTTTTCCTGTGCTGCTCAGAAAACCTTAACTGATGATGACACCACGCAACCTCAGGATTCATGTTTCAGGAAGAGAAAGAAGATCAAAACTGCTTTAGTGGTTGATGATGCTTTGGAAGATACTGCAACTTCTCCGGTCAAAGGTTCCAAGGTTCATTATTTTTCTTCTTTTCTTCTTCATCTTATATATGCATTCGTGTTTTTTCTTTTCATTTAGTGAAATTGATGGGTCTTTTGGATTCCCGACATATTATAATTATTTAATTTATTGAAAATATTATATGAGAACCAGTTTAACAAAGCAAAAGGGAAAGAAAAAAAAATGGAGAATTTTCAGGCTAATTTGATAAACTCAATGCACTTTTTATTGATGATATATGATATGTGTATAATTATTTGTTACATTCTTACTGTTTGGAAGAAAAGAAAAGATATTTGAGAAAAATTTCTTGATTAATTGAAGGTTGGAATTATTATCGTATCTTTTTCCTTATTACCTTTTCCTATATTGAAATGGTGTCCTTCTTCCGACTCAGCAAAAGCTTGCAATGCATATACATGTTGATTATGGAACTAAGTTGATGAACAATTTAAGTTTTTTTTTTTAAAAAATTTATTAAATTTTTTTCTTTTTTGTTTTTGTAGGGAAAAAAAACTACCTCAAGAGAGAGAGATGAAAGTCTTAGAAGTGACAACGACCACACAGAACTGAAGAAGAAAGGTCTTTGCTTAGTTCCTATGTCGATGATAGCGAAATATATTGGTTGATTAATTCCATGAAAAACCACTCAATATATATGCATTTGAGAAAATATATCCATTGACACCCACAGGAAAAGAAAATGAATATGGATGTGCAACAAGAAAAAGGATAATGAGAAAATTGTGAATTCTTGAGTGTTGAAAATACTTATGAATTTCTCTCTCTCTTAATTAGT